GGAGATGACGAGGGACAATACGTTGTTTCTGGAAAAGGTGTCAGAGTGACTCCGAAGGGTGGTGTGCAAGTGCAAGGTACGGACCTTGTTGTCACGCGCAGCATTACCTGCCAACTCGAGAATCTCAGCAGCAAGATACTCCAACACAGCAGCCAGATACACTGGTCCAATACCGGTGAGCTACGCCCATCCGACCCAGCCCCTTACACCGACTTACCGGGTGCTCCCGCGCCGACACGTTGTGCGTAGTTGCCCTTTTTCAGGAGACGGTGGATACGACCGACTGGAAATTGGAGACCAGCCTTGGTGGATCTCGACTGCGTCTTGGCATCGCCACCGGTTTTGCCAGAAGAGGATTTGCCACTGGAGCAGGAGGTCACAGAACCATTCCAAGGCTGTGGGGGAGTTCCAACTCACGCTTTTCCCTTTCCGGACTGTTTTAAACCAGGTCAACAGATCGTAATAGGCATAGAGACGGCATTCGTACCATGTTTTCAGAGTTCGGCGAGGTGGTAGTGGTTGAGAGTGAAGAGACCGATGCCTCGACGCGCCCAGCGCGACCAGGTATTTATTGGTCCACCGCGGATCGGAGTTCAAAAGGAAATCCACACTCAGCGCGTTTCTCACGTGACTGACTGACGCGCCGGCCCGAATAGGACTCATTTTCCCACGTCGGAGCCTGCATCCGACTGTTCCATTCCAGGGCAAGTCGAGTTGAACGGAGGCCTTGAGGTGAGCACGAGGGGTTCGCAAAAAAAGAAAGGAAAATAAAGAAATAAGTGAGAGTCACCGCCATTTCCCCGTCTTCTCCGTTTCAACTCGTCGTCGTCGTTGAAAGTTGAACCGCTCAGCGGCAGTCAACCTGCCAATCCATGTCCGAATCAGGTCCACCAGCAGGCGTACTACCAACACCGGCGACAACGCCGCCGCTTGTTCCAACACACGATCAGGTCGGTGTTAGGTCATTTTCATACCCTAGTATTGCGCGCTAAATTCAAATGCATGGGCGTGGCCTCCCCACCCGGGCTCACTCCAGGTGGTCGTTTTGTATGTTGTACGTTTGACTCGATAGACAGTCAATATTGGATTTTTGACATGGCACTGCTGGAACTTAGACAGTGGTTTATGCCGTCGTTATTTTTGGGATATGGAATATCCCCGGCGCACGAACGCTCATCAACCCTCTCAAACTGTTCACCATTGGTTGGCACGAACTATGTCATATCATCGCCGTATGTCCCACTCGAACCTTTGAACAATGCGGTGTTCATTCTCCGTGTGCGCTAGGCTATACTCACTGGTGGTACCATCCTCTCTGTGACAATAGACCCGTTTTTGGGAGGCGCAACTCTCATAGAAGGTGGTAAACCACCCGTTATTTTATCCGCCGGATACATTGGTTCGACTATTTTCGGTGGGGTTTTCATCCTTGGCGGATTCGATACACTTGTTGCCAAGATTCTCAGTTTCGTCCTCGGAATCGGCTTGGTAACACCCCTCGTTCTCGTTCGTGATAAACTGTGCGTTACCTGTACGCTCTTCGATAGCGCACCAGCGTTCTTTACCTGCTTACAGGACGATTCTACTGACGGTGCTCTATGAAGGACTTCTGGTTGGGTTCTGGTTTATCGCGCATGCGTAAGTCCTCGTGTCTCCTCGAGACATTAAGGCGTGAGACTTCATGCCCTGCGATGTAGCCAGGCTTTGCGATGGTATTGCCTGTTTGTCGGTGTCATGAAGTTAGTCCGATCTTGCACTTTCTATGCTACGATCTAACTCGACTCTGTAGCGTTTTCTTCGTGATCTGTGAGACAACCAGATCCCTGCCGTTGTGCATCGGTTTTCGTGACTTGTGCCGCAGGGGATATTGCCGATGATAAGTTCTTCCGCAAGGCCAACGATTCAGATTGCACCCAGTTTCATATCATGTTCCCACGTCTCCCTGCTCATTGTAAGATGATTACGCACGTCTCTACGTTCCCTGCTGACGTCTCCAGTTTGGGCTTGCGTATGGATCATTTTCGAGATTGGTATATGTATTGCATTTCTGTTACTTGGTATAGTATCCTTCAAGCTCTCCGACGGTGATATGGACACGCAAGCGGGTAAGAAAATCTCTGGGACTATCGGCCTTTGCATTATACCTGACGACATCCAAAGCTGTTTTCCTGCCTACATGACGCATGTTGACGATGAGGAACGTTTCAAGTCACGACATACCCAACTGCCACGTTGCACTCACGGACATTTGTAGCACGGGAACAGCGTCTCTGTATCTTTTTGTTACATCACCCCGCACGTATCTATCGCTGCATTGCATACTTGTTCGCATTCTTACCACACTTAGTGATACTGATGACTACCGCTTTGGCCCATCCGCTCAGAGACTGTTGCATAAATTAATGTTACTATTCACGTTTCCCGTCTCGAGGACGGAGCCAACCACAAGTCATCATGGAGAACGCCTACAAAACGCGACAGATTTCCGAGTTCACTTGCCAGCCGAGGTTCAGAACCGTTGTGAAATAAATCAACGGATCGTGCAACGAGCCACGGGGAGAAGAGAGCGAAGTAAGAATAGTGACGAAAGATAGCCCCGCATCTTTACAACGCGCCGTCAGACTCAAACTTAATATGATATATCCCCTTGAAACCAGCCCCCGGTATCTTTCTCTTGACTCTTGAGAGTTCTCATGACAAAACCCAAGGTTTCACGCCCGACATATACACGCCTGGAAATAACCTAAGAGTTTTTATGATGGTCGTACTTGGATGATTACAGCCTCCCATTTTTCGTTGATCCAGTAGCACTGATATTATCGTGTGTGTGTGCTACTAGTTTCATAGCCAGACGATTTGAACTTATCACTGAATGGCAGCGAGACTGATGAGGGGTGTCGACGATGGGAGATGCTTTGTCAAGAAACTTATCTCAGGGACAAAGTTGTGCATCCTCGTCGTTGGATGACCGGGACCGATGAAGCAGAGGGCAAGGCTGGCAACATTTGAAAACAACAACTATTAGTCAGCTGGGCTTGGACCTGTCTGCCCCCCAACCACCCCAAAACCACCCCCAAACCACCCCACAACTGACATGCTACCTCAAAGGATCTATACAAGGATCTAAGGTAACGGCATAAGCGCGAATACATGAATAGAGAACACCATACCTACCTCAGTCGTGCGTGCGTAGTAGCAAACATCTGAGGTGGTACTACTACAGCACAAGACTAAATACGCCATGTAGAACAAAGACGAAACACGGGTGTTGAATCCGGTGTCAAACTACAAGCACGGCCTCAGCATGAGACCTTGTAATGTTAAGTATACGAAGCCTGTAAAAACATTTGAACAATAGAAAGAAATTCCACGGTGTATCGTAGCGTACGAACGACTAAATGATGTGGTCTTGTAGACCCGCAGACGGAAGTTAATTCTCACGATAACCGAAGACTACGAACGATTTGCCAAATCTAACATTTCCGACTTGGAACTCACTTCGAACTGAAACCTCCGTTTCGTGTGCATCACTTACATCGGAATTACCATGACTCTTGGCTCTCCTAGTGCGCTGAGATACAGACTCGCGCCTTATGGTAAAAGAGTGCTTGGAACGGGTTCTTATGTGAGCTCAGGGACCACCTTCGTTCCCGTGGCTCACATCACTCATCGATATCGATCATCCTAAACGATGAACAGAGCATTGTGTATAGGGGAACTGAAGAAGTGTCTGGTAAAGCAGTGGCCCTCAAAAAATCGCGAGTCTCCTTGACAGTTAAACGACCCACTCTTCAACACGAGGCCCGTTTACTGGAATTGCTGAAGGGTCAAGCTGCTATCCCTGCCGTGTATGGATACGGTCATTTGAAGCATTTCGAGTACATGTCTATGGAACTTCTGGGACCAAGCATTGCACAGCTGCAGAAGGATGGTGCTGGTGTAACGGTGAAGACCGTCATTCGTGTCGTGGATCAAGCGGTGCGTTGAGTCTCGCTCCCCGCTTGATTCATGCCGTGTATACTGAACGGCGCAACGTGCGTAGCTCGCAGCGTTACAGCACATCCATTCTCTTGGAATTGTGCATCGCGACATCAAACCTGAGAACTTTCTTTGCGCACTTGATGATCCATCGACAATCAAACTCATTGACTTTGGTATTTCCAAGCCTTTTCCCCGTGACCAATCGGCTGCTCGGAGTAAGTACGACCCACTCAAGGAACGTCGACACATCGTTGGATCTCTTTACTGGGCAAGTTTGAATTCTCATAATGGGGAAGGTCGGTGTATATCATGTGCTCCGTGAAAGTGGCATTCTTTCTAACTCGTATTTATCACGCTATAGATCTTTCTCCACGCGATGATATCGAATCTTTGGCCTTCATCGCTCTTTTCCTTCTCCGGGGAAACTTGCCCTGGAAACCTCGCCCACGCTCGGAGTCTCGATTACGCTCACAGGAAATCGTCCGAGTCATGAAATCGGCCTGCTCAGGCCCAGAGTTCTCTGCCGGTTTTCCAAGCGAATTCAGCGAGCTGCTTACTTACAGCCGCTCCCTGACATTCGATCAGTTTCCCGACCATGTTGCACTCAGAAACTCGTTTGCGAGTCTAGCTGGCAGGTTGGGCTTCTCTCTTGACGATGGACCATTCGACTGGACGCCTTGCTACCCCCAAACTACCAACCCCATTCCAGATGAACCCACAGTCTCAGTCCCTGATGAGGACCTGGACGGCGATGGTGACGATGATCTCAAGGAGAACAGTTACTACGGGTTTGATCTTGACATCTGGGACCGCAGAGGGGAGCGAGACAAGGACGTGACCTTGCCTACAGAGAAGGAGGTCGAGCTCGATAATATCACCCCGTTGATCGAAGAAGTGGAAAGCGACTGAACCATTCTGGATTGACCGGCAGCTTTCGCCATCTTAAGCACTTTGTCTCGTATTACCTGCATCCTGGCACATATCGGGAATGACTGCCACCTCATATCAGCGTATCGTTATCCTTGTGATGCAATATTTAGCCACGATGGATTGTGTCGGATGGCAAGATAAGGACCACCAACTCACAACTGTACCCCCACCTTTTCCTCCAGTGTCAGCGTAGAAATTATGAGTGTCGAATTGAACACTCTCGCACCCGGTGATATTATCTGGACGAAGATCTGCATTCACCTCGGAGACCTGGCTTATAAGCACGCACAAAGCGAAACATCAAAAAAGTAAGCAAAAGTAATGGTTGAAAGAAACTGACGTAACATGTCGTTGAACAGGATCAAGGATAGAGAACCAATCGATCGCATATGCGTCGTACTGGAAACAAACGAAACTAGTGTTCAAGTTACCTATTTTTCGACTTTTCATGAGGCCAACGATCTACCCCCCACCTTGGACAAAGACCTGTGGTATCCAGTTCAACCTGCGATACAGGAAGGAAGGTACGAGCCGCTTCCAGGGTGGAATGTGTACGAAGAACGGGCACAGTGGGCTTCGCTCCGACAAAAGCACAAAGTCACCCAGCAAAAAGTGCGTCTGTCTGATGTGATCCAGCGCGAGTACGCGCTCAACCTTCAAGGGACTGACGAAACTATCGTGACAGGTCTACAAGTTTAAAGAGACCCTCCCTGCGGACTCAGTCAACGCCATCCTACGGCAAATGAAGGCCTGATCAAAGGTTCAGGTGAGCAACAAACCCTGCGTGTGTGAATACGTGCCCCTGTGAACTGACATGTTCCCCAAGTTGGCAGCACATTGGACCTAGAAAGAGTTAAGTTGTCAAATAAAGAAGTCTGTAAAGAATGTTATCCATGTAACGATAAGCAAGTGAAATGATATCCTCGCCTAGAAGGTCCCGTGCCCATGTGCTTCCAACCTTGCGCTTTGTTTCCTTGCGGCGTTTCTGCCGGAACGAATTTGGAATCACCTTGCTTGCAGAGCAAGGTCACAGCAACCCCGAAATTCATGGGAAGAATCAATGAGGGAAAAATTCCCTTTTTGGATTCAATTGTCAGTTCCGTACACTAGTACTGGCGCAAGATTAGGCACTTCACGAGACGGGATCTGACCTGCACGGCTGACTGAGCACCTACATCGATCATCTCACCTTCACATGCGCACTCCTCAGCGACACACTCCTTTCCGCTTCCGCTCTCAATCGTCGGGTTTTGACCTAGGGGAATATTGCCGAAAGTTACTATTCGTGTTTTGTATTCCAAGGACAGAGCGTGACAGGATCCCAAAAAACATATCAAGGAGATCGCCTACTCATTTAATCATGTCACAGCGATCGAGGCCATTCATCGACATCATAGAGATACGATTCAGAATCATTATGAGATAAATCAAGGGGTACGAAAAGGATACGAATAAAACCATGGAGAGGAGTGTGTAGAGTGGTGCAGATTGCATGGGAGTAAGAAATACGAAGAGAACGTCAGCACGATAATTTCGCATCATTTACGAGTGGCTCGCCGTATAATCCCCGCTAGGAGAAGCGTCCCCAGTGCCACGACCCCCCCTGTGAGAGCCATGCCCACGTATCCCTCTTCGGAAAAAGATACGTCCATTAGCCAGTCGTGCCAAACGCAGACGGTAACGGTGATAACGCACCTCTGGTAACAGCCTGGTCGATCAGAGCAGAGAGACTCTGGGCTTGGAGATTTTGGGGCTCTTTCCCCAATAATAGATCTGCAGACGAGGGAGGTGGGCGTCAAATCACCGTGGAAGAGGGATGGAGAAGCGCTGACCATTGAAACTCTTCGCATCCTCATAGTTCCCCATCTTGTAGTACCCAAGTGCGATGTAGTACAAACATTCTCGGCGTCGTCCCGCCTCTGTCCTGTAGATGTCTACACATACTGAAGTAAGCGACCCACCGGTTCCTTTTTTTTTCTCAACGAAAGGAAGTTACCCTGTAACAACCGCACACCCTCCACTTGGTGGTCGTGAACGGGGCTCTTTACCAGACCCCATGCATAGTTGAACTTAGTCTGTACGGTGACGTGGGACTGAGCGAGTTCCTTCTGGTATTGCGATCTGAGCACCTGGTAAGGAGTACCAGCCACCACGTCAGCTCTGGAAGATGCAGTGTGCAACGGGGTGATACAAACCTCTAGCTCGTCGTACGAGAGAGAGACTTGCGCGTCTGCTGCGTAGGGAAGATCTGTGGCCATGGTGTAGTGTTCGGAAGGAGAAGTACTGCGGGTTCCTGGAGGGGCTAATAGCAGGCAGTGCCAGGGGTCTCCCGGGAGTTTGTGTTTGCAACTCCGGGGGCGGGCGGCTGAGTGGCTTCCAAGCAACCACCAACCCCACCAACAACGAACGACGATGATGGCAGACGTAGGAGGTAAGTCGATCCAGTTTTTATGGACACCGCGTACTCGGGTTCACAGAGACAGTCAAAGTTGGCTTGTACTCGAAAAGAGGCGACGGAGGTACTTGCGACCTTTTTTTGTGGCCGTCACTTTATTTTGCACATTTTTTTTCTCCGTCTCCTCTCTTTCTTTTCGTTGTTTCCATGGATCAGGCGGCATACTCATGCTGGTGCATCGTTGCTCTTTGTCGCACTGCTACGCTTTACCGTGCTTTTCATCTAGCTAGCTAGCCTCGTGGGACGTGCCACCATGTCCCTCACACACACCTTCCGCACAGCCCGACTCTGCTGAATCCAGCCCACCCAGCACTACTTATGACGCAGATTCGCTCACCACAGATATACTTTTTTTTTTCTAGAACGTTCACACCGAGACGACCGGGACCGTCGGGGCAGGCATGGCGAGGACGGTCATCGTGATAGAGAAAGAGAGTACAGCCATGGCCATAGAGACAGGGATCGTGGTGATAGAGACAGAGAACGAGACAGAGAGAGGGATCATGGACATAGAGAAAGGGAGAGGGGAGAGAGAGACAGGTACTCCTCCAGGCGGGACGACAGGCGCCGAGATTTTGGTGGCCGTGGTGAAAGGGAATTCGACGATCACAGGCGAGATGACGATAGACGTCCCAATTACAGACGCGATGAAGATCGTGGCGGCCATCGTCGTCCACGCGAAGAGGGTTCACCCCCTCGTCGCGGACGAGGTAAAAAAGACGCCGGTTCCCCTGAAAGGAGATCCCCTACCCCAGAAGGATCCATTCCATTGTCTCAGCGCAGACGCAAGGCTTCGGGTTGGGACGTTCATGCTCCCGGATATGAACAATATTCCGCCATGCAGGCAAAACAAACAGGTTAGTTTGTCTTCTCTGGTTGGCCTGTCAGCTACTGAACTGCCTCCCCAGGTCTCTTCAATCTTCCCGGGGCTAACCGTACCCAGGTTCCACCCATTCTTGGTATCCCAGGTTTACCTCCCCCGATTCCAGTCCAAACGTTTGGAATGGGCATCGGCAGCAACCCTAACTTGTCTAGGCAGTCTCGTCGTCTTTATATTGGCAGTATCACACCAGAGGTCAACGAACAGAATTTAGCCGACTTCTTCAACAGTAAGATGATCGAAATGAGTATCGGTACAGGCGGCCCCGGCAAACCCGTACTTGCAGTACAGTGCAACTACGAGAAGAACTATGCATTCGTTGAGGCAGGTCTCCCTTCACTGTATCACGTACTAGTATTCACGTCATTGGCAACCTAGTTCCGCAGCGCTGAAGACGCCACGGCAGCAATGGCATTTGACGGCATTATTTTCATCAACGGTCCACTTAAAATTCGCAGACCAAAGGATTATGGTGGCCCAGAACAACACTCGCCTGGTATTCACGTCCCAGGCGTCGTTTCCACCAATGTTCCAGACTCGATCAACAAAGTTTTTGTCGGTGGTTTACCAACTTACCTCAACGAAGAGCAGGTACAGGAGCTGCTCAAGAGTTTCGGCGAACTCAAGGCTTTCAACCTCGTCCGCGAAAATGGCAACGGCCCTTCAAAGGTGTGTGCTTTGGGTGTTCTGGAGTACGAGTGCTGACGTTCGTAGCAGGGATTTGCGTTCTTCGAATACGCGGATGCATCTGTTACTGACGTCGCTATTCAAAGCTTGAACGGCATGGAACTCGGCGACAGATACCTGGTTGTGCAGCGGGCTTCTGTCGGTGCAAAACCAGGAATGCCCAATCTTCCATATGATCAGTTCCCAGAGATACCACGTCCCATCATGCCAGCAGGCGAAAACAACACGGCAGATGCACGCATTCTCCTCATGCTCAATATGGTGGTGCCAGAGGATCTCATGGATGATCAAGAGTACGGTGATCTCTACGAGGACGTCAAAGAGGAATGTTCCAAGTACGGTGTCGTCGAGGACCTTCGTATTCCTCGGCCCGTCAAGAAAGACAAGTCGAAGCAGACACCTGGCGATCTGGGTTATCAGTCTGCCCTGGATGCCCAGCGCGCAGATGAGGCTGCAGGTGTTGGGCGTGTATACGTCAAGTACGCATGGGGCCATGAGGCGCAAGCGGGACTCAAAGCACTTGCCGGACGGTCCTTCGCGGGTCGTTCTATTATTGCAACTGTCTTGAACGAAGACAGCCAGACGACGCCGCCTCTTAACCTGATCTTTGCACCACAGCCTGAGGCTCCGCCTCCTCTTCCTTCGTCTTAGTTGTTCCGATGTCCTCTCATCGGCTTGCAGATATTTAGCTCTTGCACCTGGCTCGCACGCGTCCACGCTGACGAAGAAGCAAGTGCTGGTGATGCCGATGCTAAAAATTAGCTATGTTTTGATTCCATCTACGTATGTATGTCGTGGTACCCCTTTCCTTCTTCCTATGCTTCTATTTGTCTTTTTCGCGTTGCCTCCTGCCGCCATTGCACGATGGTGCGGCAGTTTCTTTACAGCCTTACAGCCCAGGTCGAGATCGAGATTGTATAGTGTTGCCAGTCTCAAGTTCTATGGACTTTTTGTGATGCCGACGGTGCGTAGTCACTGTGAGTTGATGACAGTAGCGACAGGGTAGCAGCTCGACAGAAAGTGCCCCGCGTCATTTGGCCCCATCGGGAGGTAGTTCAACGTTCAAACACGACGATGGCCACTTGGTGCGGGCTTGTTGCATTGCTATTCGCTTCTGTCGCATGGTTTGCTCAAGGACAGCAGTTAGTACATGCAGGTAGCAGCTCGAGGGAACGTGGACTTTAGGCCGTTACATTGTGTTCAAGAATTCTTTCGTGCTTGATTCAAGGAATGCGCGCGCGGCTCGTATCAAGCGTGGCGACGGCAACTTCTCTGAAACGTTTCACTGTCGTGGCCACACATTCGACTTGCCTTGCCGTTCGCGCGTTGGGGTGACATAAATACCTCTGATACAGTTAGTTATCTCGAAGTTCACGGTACGCCATCATTTATAACGGACTTGTTGACTCCGGATCATTGAGGCTTGTCAAAGGGGACTGCATACCTTATGTAAGCATACTTGGCCACAATAGGTAATTTCTGGTCGAGCGCAACGATCGACCAAATATGGACTCAACTGCTGACCACCGAGTACTGCCTCGTCCAAGCCACGCCGTCGTTTGCATACCATTCAAATATGTATTGCACGTACTGTACCATTGCAATGTGATTTCTGTGCCAATACCCGGCAACCTTGGGGCCGGGTGAAGGATACCCATGATTTCTGAAGTTTTCCGAGCTGAGCCTGGATGCCAATCTACATATGAGCAGCTGTATTACCCATCTTCCAGCGTTTTCACTCAAACTAGACAGGGGTTGCACGTCCCTCCCTTCGATCGTTCC